GTTCGACCTCTGTTTCACCAACCATACGCATTCGAACCCGTTCATATGAAACAAAATTGAGATAAATCACTGATAAATGAAAATAATGGGAAAAATACAAAAATAAATGAAAATTACAATTTTGTTAACTAATTTAGGCTTCCAGAAATTTCTAGTGGATTTCGCACGTCGCAAACAGAAATTTTCTGAGGCAATCTATGTGATCCGGAAAGAGGTTGACTTTCTTCAGCTACCCTGGAGTGCATAAAATTCAGGAAAAGAAACGCAGCTGCAGTAGCCTCCTCTTGAATTCGCCGGAAATAACCAAGGCCGGAACAAAACCATCCGTAGCTTCCACGTTGCTGAGTATCTCGCTACTTTACTCAACCCGAGACTCAACCCTTTCTGATCCAACGCAACTTTTCGTAGGAATTCCAACACCAATGAAACAATTTTCACTTGTTCTTAGCTATTCGCTCGAATTCAGCATCCCACACATGACACCACTGTTGTGTTGCGGGTTGGATACGGTGAGCTAAATGATACTCAGGGTCCTGTTAGCTGGTTTTATTCACTAAAGATCAGTTGATGTTGATGGCGATGAATACAGATTGTGTACAGATGTTGAAAATTATAGATGTTCAGTGTTACAAGTTTCGTGGCAAAATTCCTCCAATTTGTCACAGAAGCGACGCTTTCATGACATCAATTTTGACATATGAAAATAAAGAATACAATTTTACTAAATAAAGTCACCTGACAACACGATGTTCTAACTGGAATTTTGTGTTGATCAGCAATATTGACATCGTTTAATTGGAACAGAGAAGTCAGCAGAAATGTAATACCTAACATTATGACATCATGTTATCTTTTGTAGCAAGTGTATTTGATAAATATCTATAAAGTTTCTTAAATAAGCAACTGGAATAAATTATAGAATATAATACACGCAGTTTCAAAAAAGTGACGCACTTGATATTTGACCTATCTTCTTAAAAAAAAAGTCGGCCGATTTTTATTTATTTTTCATTTGTTTGTAGGTAATGCATTTGTCTTAACCTCTTAAGGCCCATGGTTCCATATATGGAACAGATAAAATATCAATTTATTAAATCAACCATTTACTTTAGTTCGTGATTATTTCATGATGACCCGTTGTTCTGAATAGGGAACAAATGAGAAATATACAAACCTTGTTGTTTTCGCCATCTGTTGTCATTTTGTGAAAGTTTGAAATCCGCCATGTTTGTGAACAGCTGTGAATTTTAGATTTGTAACAGTTCGTGCTGATTTTGTATATTCTTGGTGTGTATTATATCAAAATAAAATAATTAGGCTTATCGTTAGTATAACTAGATGACCTTGTGATAGTAGAACTGCATTTTTCTGAAAAACGCTGTAATTTATCGTCACTTTTGCATTTGTTCCATGTGTGGGACATTGGTCATTGTCGTTAATTTTCCATTTGTTCCACGGCTGGAACATTGAGCATTGTTAGACATATTATTATTGAATATAACTTTATTTTTGTAGAAAAACCCGACTATGGCTGATTTTCCAAGTGGAAGCGAAGAAGATAATCTAAGTGATTCTGATTATGATCCTGAATGTGACGAGAAAGCTACTGCGCTGTCAGATTCATCATCTGCAACTGATATGGAAGACTCAAGTGATGATGATGTCCCTTTGGCTCGTTTTTTACCTGCTGTCAGAAACAGGTTAGGAAAATCAAAACCCAAATGGACCAGAGTCGAACAGAACGATGACCCTTCACATGTTCCAAATTTTGCTCCATATTCACAGAACGAAGAACCTATCCATTATTCCCAAAATTACTTTTCAAATGACTTGCTAGATCATATAGTGGATCAAAGCAATCTCTATTCAGTACAAAATGACCCCAACAAACCTCTGCAGCTAACAAGAGAAGAATTGGAAGTATTCATAGGAACTATAGTTTACATGTCTATTTTTGGACTGCCACGGCATAGATTGTACTGGACTTCATCATGTAGAGTTTCGGAAGTTGCTGATATGTTATCAAGAAATAGATGGGAAGACATAAAAAAAAACTTGCATTTCAATGACAATACAAATCTTCCCCTGAACAGAAACGATCCTGATCGGGATAAATTATTCAAAATCAGACCTATAATCACTCATATGAAACAAAAATTCATTGACCACGTCAAACCCCAAATGCTGTGTGTTGACGAACAAATCGTACCATATAAAGGAAAATCTGCATTGAAGCAATATAATCCTAAAAAACCTAACAAGTGGGGATACAAGATATTCGTATTATGTGACAGCAATGGAGTTACCCATGATTTCGAAATATATACTGGCAAAATCCTTCCAGTACCAGGGAGAGAGGATATTGGAGCTAGTGGTAATATCGTCCTTCATCTAGCATCTTCAGTACCTAAGCACCAGAACCACTTACTATTCTTCGATAATTGGTTTACTTCCCTGAGTTTGATAACAACTCTTCATAAAGATGGAATTCCAAGTTTGGGAACTGTTCAAAAAGACCGACTTCCTGGATTACAGTTCAAAAGTGACAGGGAAATGAAAAAAGAAGGTAGAGGCACCTATGAAGAATACAAGACTATCATAGATGGTATCGAAATCCGAGCTTTGAAGTGGTTTGATAATAAAAGTGTGTGTTTGGCCAGTTCGTTTTGTGGATCCCAACCAACTGACAGAGTAGAGCGATTTGATCGTAAAATCAAGACCAGAGTGGATATTTCTCGCCCATTTATGATAAAGCAATATAACAAGTTTATGGGGGGAGTGGATTTGTTGGATGGATTGATATCCTACTATAGAATCAGCCTAAGAAGTAAGAAATGGTACCTGAAAATATTTTTCCATTTCATAGATTTAGAAATGGTAAATGCATGGTTGAGATACAGACAAGATTTGACTGAACAAGGAGTAGATGGGAGGGACATCTTAGATTCCCTTGGCTTCAGAGCAGAGGTAGCTGAAGGACTTTGCTTGATGGGAAAAGGAAAAAAAAAAGAGGAGAGGTAGGCCCAGTAGTAGCGGAAGTATAGAAAGAGAATATCAGATGAAGAAAAATAATGCCACAAAACCAATTCCACAGTTTGACGTGCGCACTGATAATGTAGGTCATTTTCCAATTGAGAAGGAAAAACGTCAAAGGTGTAAAAAACCCAATTGTGGACTGAAAACTCATACATTCTGTGTGAAATGTGAAATCTATTTATGTTTGAACAAAAATAGAAATTGTTTCACTGAGTTCCATCGTTGACCATAGTTCCATTCTTGGTACATTCAACTTATTTTTTTGTTCGAAATAAAAATGATTCGCATTCATACTCTACTATTTCATTAACCATATTTCATCCAAATAAACCTATTTTAAAAATTCTATCTACTCTGTATATAAATTCGGGCCTCAAGAGGTTTTAAAAAAAAATAAAGAGAACAATTTTTTCAAAGCCTCCTCGATGGTGGTGGAATAACTCGAACAATGATTTATTCTTTATTTTTGACTCACCCTGTGTGTTAATTGAGTAATGGTATACAAAGTGCTTACACCCTTTACGAAAGAGGCTTCTTTTGCGAGCATTTTGTTTTTTTATTCATTGATTTATCTCTGAAATTTTTCGAATTACAGCTTTTTTGCTTATACCTCACGCTTATCCCACAAATTAAATTTATTGAAGGATCAGAGTACTCGAAATTGATTGGGTTGTACTATGGTAGGATCACATTGTCTTTACTTAATGGGACCTTTGCAGACCGATTTGTTATGTGATTTCAAATGAGGAATGGAAATCTACAACACGCCACGTTGGTCGTGACAAATGTTATGAGGAAAAATCGAGAAATAATTACAATTTTAAAATTTTTAAATTTAATTGTTGTACCTACTGGTCTAATAGAGATATCTAAATGATTCTTGCGCTGATCGATAGACTTATGTATGTACTTCATAATGTCTATTCAGTAATCCATAATTTTTGAATAAAATTTTGAAAAAATCACATTATTCACTTCCCTTTTAGAAATTTCAATAAAATATTTTTGATTTATCTCGCTGAAACTCATACATCGTTAATCCAATACAGATATTTTTTACACCAAAAACTGCGGAATTCGTTTCTAAATATTTCGTCCCGCTTATGTATAGATCTAGGTAGAATGGTAAATCAGCTACAGGCAATTGAACGCAACGGTACTCACTGTTCTTCGTTGCCCCGCCGCCATCCCTCAGCGCTTAGATACCCATGTTAATCGTGCCTGATGCCATTGAAATCTCCGATTGAAATACTGAACACTGAACTTGTGGTCTTTAGTAGCTGATTCTGCTTTAGGTTGAAATAATACAAAATAATTACCAAAATATGTATTTATATTCAAATATAGGTATGGATCGTCAAGTACCTATTTCTCATATTCCATTTCATCAAAAATGTAATCATTGTAAATATAATGCTTTACACAATTTTATTGATTTATATTTCGAAAAAGGTTTCAGCTTCATCAATTTCTACATGTTCTTCTCTGGAACGCCGTAGAGAAGTTGGCGATCTGGCTCTATTTTAAAGATATTTTCATGGACAATGCTCTTCTGAAATATCAACAATTGTTCCTCCCTTGGTAGTCCCCACGAGATTGATCCGTCGAGTTGAGGCTTCGCACCCCTTCGTGGTTACTTTGGGACCTGCAGAACATCTCTTTCCAAAGATTTGTTCATCCAACGAGCAGCAAGGCTCTGGAACACATTGCCAAGGGAGGTGTTCCCCGAGGCATATAACCTCCAGAAACTTAAGAAGAACACCAATTTCTACCTTAATTTCCTTGGTTCTCACGATGTTCTCTTCCCTTTCAGTGGGAACCAGAACATAAAAAAAATATTATAACAAGATTTTCTGCACTTGCATTCATCAGTGCAGAACATTCCTTCTTTCTTGCATATATACACTTGCCATTAATGCAGTTGGCATCATTGCAGTGTAAGTCTAAAATTTGTCTCACATTATCTAGTGTTTGGGTCAAACACATTAATTTTTGGAGTAAGTAATTGTGGCCCCCTTCTTTCTGTCAACCAAATTATTTCGGATTTTGCTGATGATACAAACCTACGCGACAACATTAATATTTGGTCATAGCAACAGATTTTTTGAATTTTTTCCATAGAATTAGCTTGGCCTGGTTGAGATCTTGGCAGGTCTCTTGTTTGTATACGTAAATGGCAAATTCTCTAGCAATTCCCTCACTTTTCTCAACATTTTCAATTCGATCCAGACATAAGTTCTCCCTCATTTTTGATATATATATCTCATCCTGATTTTTTCTCAATCTCAAAAAACGAACTGGTTGTATCACATCCTGTTTAAACATGGAATGCAGGTAATCCATCGCAAGTACATTTTTGCTATATCGTAGATTGCATTAAATCTCCTTCTATTTGTGAAAGCTGTACCATGGCCCTTCCCCATAATATGTATATGGTATTGGATCTAACATTATCATAATTCCAATAATAATACAGAAGAAGAACGAAGACATCCGTGTCATCTGACTTTATTATCATTTTATTGTGACGCTGATGGGAAATGTGGAGAATCAAACGAGTATCAGCTTCTTCATGATTGCATCTCAAATGGGATTCTTCTGTAGTTCCAAAATGATGTATCTAAGAAATCACCAGATAAAATACAGTATAGTATTGACATATCGATTTTGTAACCTCCACTAATATTTCTGCATCCTCCAATCGTCCAGCAATAATAATCTCCTTTTTAGTACGTAATCGTAAATGAGGTTCGATAAAATATTTGGTGACACACTTTATGAGGGACATACCTTATATGCTGTCCTCTACTAATACTTTCGCTGCTTTTTATTGAATTTTCTAAGTCATATCGATCGAATATAATTGAAATTGTTCGACATGTCTGATGATCTTTGAATATGCGAATCATGTTGTTCAGCAGTACTTCATCTAATTCCTGGAATGTTCTGAATGCCTATCAATGTCTTGTAGAAGTATCATGCCAAATATGAAACAGGAATCAATTTCTGGAGGTGATTCAAACATAGTCGAATAATATGTTTCGAATTTAGTAGCGAGATCGGATTTAGCAGTTTTTATCATAATTCTATCTTCATGGAAAATAAAGACAGGAACAGCAGTTGATTCATAACTCATGATATCTGCGAAATCCATGTCCTTATATTGAGCTCAATAATTGATCAGAACTATCTGCAGTGATTATTTCACGAACTCCCAATTCATCATTATTGATACAAGTCATCCGTATCGAATAAAGGAACAATAAATACTGCCCAAGTTACAGAAATTACTTTATGACAGTTCCTATTTTATGTTGGCGCGATGGACGCCGGCGGGGTTGCCACGAGGAAGAAAACGGTGTGCATCATTGCGTTCAAATAGCTGCAGCTAATTTATTATCAAAAATGGATCTATATATATGCGAGACAGAATATTCGCAAAAGAAGTCCGCAGTTTTTGGTGTAAAAAATATTCAGAATGGATTAATGATGTATGACTTTTAGCGGAATGAATAAAATACATTTTATTGAAATTTTCGAAAGTGAACTGAATTATGTGATTCATTCAATTTTTTATTCAAATTGTGGAACAATGAATCAACATTATTGAAGTACATATATTGGCCTATCGAACAGCTGAAGAATCATCCAGATATATGTAATATTTAGATCAATAGTTACAGCGATTATAAATCAAAATTTGAAAATTTCAATAATTTCTCGTTTTTTCCTTATAACTTCTGTCTCGACCAACATGGCGTGTTGTAGATTTAAAATTACATGACAAATCGATCTTCACGGGTCCCATTGAGTTATACCGGAATTTTGGGTAGGTCTTAAAACGAGCGATTTCGCTGCCTCCCCCTCCGCACTATGAGTTGTTTATTGTAGTGTGGTAGTTAAGACTGTTTGTCGATGCAGTTTTCATGAAATGCTGATGTTTTTATATTCGATAATCATTCGCACATGAGAGTTGAGGAACACAAGGTGAAACTTTCTGTGACCAATCATGATTGTTATATCATAACCAATCAATTCAAGAAAGATGGTGATATATTGGGAGGAAATCCAAAACGTGCCTCAATGGTAGGCTCTTCAGGATGCGGTGAAACTGATTGTATGATCAGTTTGCTAGATGAACCAAATGGATTGAGATTCGAAAATGTGTATCTGTATTCCAAGTCCCTGCATCAATCAAAATATGAATATTTGAAGTTGCTGCTCAAACCGTTGAAGGAGATTGGATATTTCAAATAGCATAATGGAGATGAAGTAATTACTCCGAATGAAGTAGCTCCGAATCCAATTATTATATTCGATGACATAGCCACATGCAAGCAAAACATTATCAGAGATTTTTTTCGTTCTGGACAACACAAAAACAGATGTATTCTATTTATGTCAGACTCATAGTTTTATACCAAAACAATTGATGAGATAATAGCAACCTCATCATCATTTTTAAGCAAGATGTCATTATGAGGGTGTCTTAAAATTGGAACATATACTTTCCGAGGACTCATTTCATGGGACTCCTAGGTGAATGTGACAATGACATCCTTAAAAAGGGTGAATAATGAAAATGGTTTTAATATTCAGCAATAAGAACATAAGTGGATAATACTCACATAAATTATAATATTCAAACATGTTGGTAAATTGTTTTCCACTTATTGATTTACACGTATGTACCTATACGTGAATAAAAAAGTAATGGTCTTACCTGTAAAGTCAAATTCTTCTTGATATTCTTAGTCACATGACCTGTAGATTTTTCGATATCTCTTCTCTCAGTCTCAATATTTTCACGTAGTGAACTTTCTCGTTTATGTAACCTATATACATCTCTTTTACTGGAATTTTCCTCATTCTTGAATGTTTTTCTATTTGAAGGGCAAGGTACTTTCACCTTGATTTCCTCTAACCGCTTCGTTTTCTTCTTATGGCTTTTGAATTTTCTAGGTGTCTCATTTTCTAAAGTCAGCGTATAAGCGATGGCATTTCGGCTTCTTACAGTCTTCTTCAATTTGAACTGACAATGAAAACAATAATGTCCATTCTGAGATTTAGATTGTTTGGTGCAAGTACAATATTCTTCCATTCTTCGGAAACTGTCACTGGTGGCATTTGTGTCATTAACAACATCCTTTTCTGGACCTGTATAGCATACGGAAGTTAAAATTGGTTTCTTCCCTAGACAATGATGACACAGAGGATATTCCTGATTGTTGCTTCGCATCAGAGAAACGTTTTCAATATTTGTTCTCATTTTACAACAAATACACGTGAGATCAGATGTAGCTGAATTTTCAGAAACGGTATTGCCGGAAGATGTTTCTGAAAAAGAGAAAGATACAATCCATTTTTGAAATGGGTACCTCATATGCGATCTGAATATTCACTGAATGAGGTGTAAATGAGCGATTATTTCTAATGTTAGAAATAGTCGACGTCATAGTGACCCCAACATAAGTATCCGATTCTTTTCAAAAAATTAAAATATTTGTACATTTGAATGAAATTAATCTTTTGAATTGAGATGAGTAATGTGTTTCAAAAGCCACATAAAAACAGCTGATTATATATCTCTTAATGAATAATTTTTCAAATACCCCGACCATGACAAATAAAGACCATTATTTCATCTTCTCAAGCAACAAATATTTCAATTCAATCGAACCGTAACCCAGACGGGGGGCGAGGCATAGATGAAAAAATTCGGGTAGTTCTCTGATTGTTTGTTAGGTATGTTGTATTTATAGGCAACCTCGCCAATGCGCCGGAAGTGCCACTAACGCCAAAAATCGGCGAAATTCTTGAACTTGTTCCAAGTTTTTGATGTTTCAGCATGAAAGACTGGTTTGACTAGAAAAAACATTTGGCCTATTATTTGACGGACATCAAATTATCCACTATTCAAAAAGAGAATCACCATGAGCATACAACTCCCGAAGTTACAGCCATTCAAATTAAGAGCAAATTTTGAAATTTAAAAAATAGGTTTCAGCCATTATTTACGATTTTCACTGAAAAGCGATGACTTTCCAGCAAAGTCGAATGGAACTGTCTTCAAAGATAAGAAATGGAATTTCAAATCGTAATTCAACTAGGGTTCTTGTCATGGATAGCTTCTGTGATATAGCTTTTGGAATTTTGAGCGCACTTCCAACAAATAAATAACATGAAATGTAAAAAAGAACAGTGTTACTAAAAAATAAGAGTTGTTGGTACAATTACATTGAATTTCCTCAAATTGTATGTAACTCACATGAAAGATTTCACATTCAGGGAAATAATAAATGTAACATTAAATATCAATTGATATTTTAATTATCCTGGACCTTCTTGAAGGGTCTGGAGTTGAGATAAGTTTTTTTGCTGAACCAATACCCTTTTGTTCCTCAGGTGATTTATAGTTGATTATCTGAAGAGATCTGCGACGAATAGATCGTTATTCATAAATTATTATAATCACTTCGTATTTATGTTCATGTGTCACAATAATTTTGTACTCATATGTCAATAGATAATATTTCTATAAGATGCATAATAACTATCCATAATATTATTATAAGTATACAGGGTGTCCCTGAAAGGTCTGTACAGAATCTCAGCACATATTTCTGAGGTCAAAATTGTTGGAAAATATATAGAGATACTTCCATTATGTGATATACCCTGTATATGTTGTTGTTTCGAATATTGTTCAGTTGTTGATATATCATTCAAAAGAAAAGTCTCTGATTTCGTCCCCTCGTACCTCTGCTGCATCACACTCTGCTATCAGGTTATGGGCCCAGGATTTCATCAATAGTGTGAACAGATATCAAGGAGAGTGAATATAAGACTTGAAAATTATCAGGAGATTCCAGAAAGAAAAAATATTTTTTTTCCAGTTCCAAAGATTTTCGCCTAAAATGTCACTGGAAGAAATGAAATTAGAAATTGCTAAGCTCAGAAAGGAAGTTGAACTCAGGACAGCAACGAAATCTACTATCATTTCCAGTTCAGTGGGTGGTTTAGCGGAGGCGAAACATCTAGATGGTTCGAACTATAGTGAATGGAAGTTTTGGATGAAAAACTTTCTGATCGATGCTGGTCTATGGAAATGTGTTGAACCGACAACGGATGAAGTGGTAGATCCAGAACTGGATCAAAGGACTTTGGCTAAAATCAACCTGTCACTTAAACCATGTGCTGCAGCCGAAACAAAGAAAGCCACTACAGCGAGAGAAGCATGGGAGAATCTCAAGAAAACCTACGAAAATTCTGGAATCGTACGGTTGGTTGGTCTGTACTCAAGTGTTTTCCGAACTAAATTCGAAAACTGTTCTTCAATGCAAGATTACATCGACAGGATAATCAAGATATCAGAACAACTCGAGAATGTGGGGGAACCATTCAATGACAATGTTGTTGGTGGTATTATACTTGGTGGTTTACCAGATGAGTACAAACCTTTAATATTGGGAATACAAGGTTCCAAACAAACAACCTCGACTGAATTCGTGAAAAACTTATTACTGCAAGAGAATATCAAAAGCATGGCTAATGAATCATCATCGGAATCAGCATTTCTCAGCATAAAATTCACGAAATACAAATCGAAAAAAGGTCCGAGGTGCTACAATTATTGTGATCAGTATAATAAAAAATCCAACGTATGCCCACAACCGAAGAAATCAGCAGAAAAAGAGAAGACGGAAAATAGCAGTTTTTTGCCTTCACGAGCGATAATTCCTCTGTGAATTCATTCAACAAAGAATGGATAATAGATTCAGGGGCTACTGCACATTTCATTCCTCACCACACCTGGCTAAAAGACTTTCAAGCAATGAACAATAGGAACCTGGGAATTGCAAATGGTGCCAAACTTCATTGTACTGGAACTGGAAAAGTAGAACTACTATTGGAAAACCAACATATAATGAATGTTGAAAACGTTGTTCATGCTCCTGACATCACTAGGAATCTTTTGTCAGTCAGCAAAATTCTGAAAAATGGACATATTGTCATTTTTTATTCCACTCATGGATGCCGTATAACAAATCAGAAGATTTCAATTGATCCTAATAGAATCATTGCTACAGGTTCAGAAAAGCATGGCATGTATATTCTTAATCAACATGAACAATTCGAGGTACATTCAGTGAACAAAATTGATTCATACGAACTCTGACATAGCCGCTTAGGACACATCAATGAACAATCCATGCTGAGACTAAAACATTTATCAACTGGAATAGACTATTCAGATGTTGGCACAAGAAAATGTGAAGCCTGCATTAAAGGTAAAATTCATCGAGAACCCTTCAACAATGCTGGAGGTAAACGTGCGGAGAATGTTCTTGACCTAGTTTCTTCTGACGTTTGCGGACCCATGCAAACGGACTCCATTGGAGGTGAAAAATACTTCCAACCTTTACCGATGACTACTCTAGAAAAAAGACAGTCTATTTTCTCCGTAAAAAGTCAGAGGTAACCGACAAGTTCAGGGAATATAAAGCACTAGTTGAAAATGAATCAGGCCGAAAAATCAAGAACATAAGAACAGACAACGGAACTGAATACGTTAACGACGAGTTGGGGAAGATTTTGAAATCCAGTGGTATCCAACATGAGAAGACAGTTCCTTATACTCCCCAAGGAAATGGTGTCGCAGAAAGGCTCAATCGAACGTTAGTCGAGAAAGCAAGAAGCATGATTCTGGAAGCTAATCTTTCTAATGATTATTGGGCGGAAGCAATATCTACAGCGACCTATCTGAAGAACCATTCCCCAACCAAGAGCATAAAGAACATGACTCCGGAAGAGACCTGGTCAGGAAGAAAACCGGACTTGGCACACCTTCGCGTATTTGGATGTAGAGCTTTTGCACACGTCCCGAAAGAAAAACGACAAAAATTTGATTCTAAAGCTCTTGAATATATTTTCGTAGGGTATAACAATTCGTCAAAAATATTTCGCTTGATTGACCCTGTAAGTAAAAAAATAGCTGTCTTCCGCGATGAGCATCAGAAGAGAGTAGACGTTTATCGTTGGCTCGGCGTTTATACGATTTCAAATCATTCGCTATTTTCCCGTCTGTTTAGTTCACTCGTTTCGCAAGTTAACAAGTTCAAAGATGGCCTTCACAAAGGATCAAAGGCAAGATATTAAGCAAATAATCAATGAATGCTTACGTGATGAGAAAATTATGAATGTTTTTGCTGATCATTTGGCTGGTTTAGTGATATCTAAGCTTGAGAATAGAATTGTTGAGCTGGAAGAAAAAGTCAGATCTGTGAGTACACACAACGAAGAAATATCAGCTGTAAATGAAAAATTATTAGATAAAATTGATGAAATTGAACAAAAATTCAAAATTCCCAATTTGAGGCTATACGGTGTGAAGCAAGATGCCAATGAAAACATACAGATGGTCGTCAAGAATATTTGCTCCAATAAGTTGAAATTGAAGGAAACTGACTTTCGAATTGAAAATTGTTACCGCATGAAATCCAGGACTGATAGAGGAAATAAACCGATGCCAATTCTAGTGAACTTCGCATCAGTTCAAGATCGTAACACTGTTTTCTATAGAAAGAAACAGCTGAAGGGATCTAGAATTACTATTACTGAAGATCTAGCTAAATCCAGGTACGATGCACTTGTGTTGGCAAAAGAAAAGTATGGCAGATCCAAGGTATGGACGCAGAACGGGAAAATCTGCATTCTTCAAACTAATGGAGTGAAACTTTTCATTAAAAACTGTAATGATATCAAATAAATTACTATTGTATAGCTTAAGCCGAATCAACTTCTCCTCTCAAACGTAATTCACGTTTCTAAAAGCATATTTCCATTTACGTTTGTATTTTCTTTATATCTTTCTTTTTATTTTTTATTTTTAGGGTCTCAATCGTAACATATAACGCATTTTTCAAACATTAAAGTGAGGTTTTCCTAAGATACTGTTATTAACTCTTTTTTTTTTTTCAAAACATTCATTTCGACAAGAATTTATTGTATATTCACTTGATTAGGATACATTTCTTTGTAATTGTAAAGAACTATACATTTTTTATTGACTGGATTTTTGAGATAGTTAATGAGGTTTTTGTGAATGCTTCTTATCTTTATTTTATCCATGGTTCCTCAAAAGTAACTCAAGGATATCTGCTTATATTTTTCGATAGTACAGGATGTCCTAGTATGCAAGATTAGAAGTGAAATTTTAATATGAAAAGCAATTTGCAAATATGTCAATTGAATGTCCGCTCACTTTTACCGCATTTTGCAGAGGTTCTTAATCTTATTGACGGATTTGATATAGTGGGTGTTTCTGAAACACGGCT